AAACAGAGAAAGTTGTCATGGATGACTGAACTTGCCTTATGGTATGGACTTACCTGACGTCTCAAATCAAACGGGTTTTTGCATCAGTAAACAGATTAACTCTTTAGGGCACGCGGGCTGCAAAGCTCTTTGCTCCACTTTGAGGTCGTCATTTTTTCCTGCATTGCTCTCTACATGGAAAGAATGGATGTTGGGTAGAGGGTCTCCGGATGTGGGCCCTGACTTGGTACCTGTTTTGTTTGCATAGTCATGACTGTGGAAGCACTGGCCAGAGAGGAGGAGGCTACCTGGATGCAAACAAACATCCCTCTGAAAAGTATTCTTCCAGACAGGAGTGCACAAGTAAAGTTCTTGCTAGAGAACATTTTATGCTCCAACTACTCAGGTTTAGCCTTTTTCTTCTGTTTTTCTTTCTCCTCTCTTGCTACCACAGAACCATAGTTATATAGTAGTTACTATGGAAACGGAGTGGTCTGCTCCAGGGGAGGGGCTTAGAGAGCAGCAGATGTAACATGGATAGGAATGTCCTGTGTTGGACTGTGGAATAGAAACTGAGCAGTGGGTAGCAAATCCACGACCAGTGACCCTCTGGAACAACATCTCAAGGGAAGTGACTTACGTTACCACTGTTTAATTATGGGCATTTTTACTATTTGGAAGTACTACATTAAGCAGACTCACAGTCTCCGCTGAACATCAGAATCACACTTATAACTGTCTAAAGATTTTGCTTTCATCTCTCTTTCTTTCCGAAGTTACTGGCTGTTGGTTTGAATATGCCCTGATTGTATTTGAATTTTAGTTGTTATTTGGCTGGTTATAGTTTCTTCTTGGGAATAAAATGTGATTTGGTAGGAAAAAGACCCTCTTTGTATCAAAAACCATAATCATATCTCATTCTAAGGGAGTATCCTTACATGATTTCCTTTGAGCTAGCCCTGGATCTGAATGTGCAATTTGAATTTTGAAAGATCACCCTGGGTTCATTGGATTGCTAAAACCGAAAGATTTTCTTTTTTTTTCAGTTCTTCAAATGGAAAAAACAACATATATTTTAAAGAACTTTTGCTCATCACTTGGTCATCTAAGACAAACCATTTCTTACAAGAATATTTAAGTATTCACAGTTGTAAAGAGGAGAAGAATTGAAGATTATTGTCATCAGTACCTTAGTTTCATGGTAATTGGAACAATTCACACAACTGTTGAAACAAAACACAGCTCTTATCTCAATGGGAGTAAGAGATTATTCTGAAGCCAAATTTGATAGCCAAAGTCCAGGAAACAGAGCTAAATTACCCCAGGTTCTGCATTCCCACATGGAGGCAGCTCCTTGGAGTTAGAACAAAGACAGTTATAAGTCAAGGGGTTTTAAAAACACCTTGGTGGCAGTTACAGCAAGACAGGGAAATCTCTTGTGTGGCCTTGGATTCTATTTGACAACATTCTTAGCTTTTGGGTTGGTAGAAGATAGAGGTCTGTTAAGTTGCTAAACTCCAAAAGGTTTTTATCTGTTACTCACAGGATGTTAGTTCCCACAGAGCTGGGCAAGGAAAAGTTATTTAGAGGCCTAAAGCTAGGCCAAGATAAAGTATAACTAGCTGGACCCTACAATACCCTGACCTCTCCATGTCAATGAAGTTCAATCTATCCATCAGACTCTGTGTACACAGCTTCTTTCCAGGGAATCTTGTTCACACCCCAAGGTAAGAGCATAAACATTCCAAAATGAAGTTGTTGGGAGGGAATTCTTCAGGATTTTGTGAAAATGTTTTAAATAGGCAAGCACATCACCCAACCTAATGGGAGAAGGGATTATTTCAGTAAAAGAATACTTAAGGTGTTCTCTTTTTAAATGATGAAAAAGTAAATCATAAATTCTATGCTGCATCTGTTTTTCTAGATGAGAAGCTAACCACCATTGTATGCTACACATTTCTGGTTTGGAGAGAGGAGCTGAAGGGAGGGAACAGAAAAGAAAAAGAGAAGAGGGGAAGGGAAAAGGGCCGAAAATATTCCCACCAAAAGGTGCCCCCATTGGATACCTCCAGTTCTCCCTGTGATAACTCAGCTGTTACTCTGCTGGCGTCAGCCATGCAGTAGGAAGCTGGGGGGGGGGGGCAAGATGTTAGAGATGCTTTAGTGCATCTGCAGCTCTCTGAGAAGGGGCAAGTGTTCCCTAAGCATGACGTCAGGTTAAGATTTTATTATTATTATTATTATTATTATTATTATTATTATTATTATTATT